CTATTGCTACTATAATTGTAATATTTTTGCCATATTGTTTAACAATCTCTTTAATAGCAGGTTTTCCACTAGATGCATGTCCTTGTGAATGAGTTAAATGTAGATTAAAACCAGATTTGTTAATATATATGACATCATTATACATATCAATATTTTCTTGAAATATGTTGTCAACATATTCTTTTCTTTGAACGATAGTAGTATCTATATTCTAGCTTTTATTAATTAGTACTAGTCTTTTTAAGGTAAATCTTAGTTTTTTTATATTTCGGCCAACTGTTAATCTACTGACCTATTAATATATTTTATATTAGAATTATACATATAAAACATGAGAATAGCAAAAGTTTTTTATTATGTAATTAAAAACAGATGATGATAAATTAAAAAACAATGATCATTATTTGATCCAGTATTTGGACTTTAATAATCACATGTTTTAAACAGGTGAAAAAGTATTTTTTTACCATCTCTAAGTAAAACCTGCAAATTATTTTACTCATTATTATCATAGTAAATTCCACTTCTAAGGCTCAGAGTAGAATTTACTACAATGATAATAAGTGAAATGATTTACAGGTTTTCACTATTTTCACTAATATTTATTATGTATATATACTTGTAAATTAAACTGTTTAATAAGCTTTTGGTATAATTCGTTAATAGTAATACTTAGATTTATTTCTATTTGTCTTTATAAAAAAAGTCTATGATCATTATTTAGTTTCGATCTTCTATCACCACCTCTTGCTTTAAAAGTAATCCTATTCTCTTCATTAAATCTGTTTACAATACTTTGAACAGTTGAAGATGCAAGCTGAAAATGTTGAGAAACTTTAATAATTAGTAAGCATTGGTTATTAATCATATGTATTATTTGTTTTCTCATAGCAGGTGTGGTTTTTCTATATAGATATCATTGATTTTTTATAGTTCAAGGTTAGTTTAGCAAAAATATAGTTTAGCAAAAATGATTGTTATTTATATTAAATTTATTTTTTTATATTCTGTATATAAAAATATATACAATCAATGACTTAAAATTTTAACATTATTCCCTCTTTAGCATGAGTCTTCTCCAAAAATTAAATAATTAATAAGCTCTCCTCAAAACAAAACTAATTATATTATCCGTGATTATATGCAGCAATTATATAGTAGGAGCCAGAATAAATATGAAATAATATAAACAAAGAAAGCGCCCTTAAATATCTAAGATTTACTCATTTATAAATATTCATTTTATTATTGTTAAATTAGTACACAAGTAAAATAGGTTCTAATTATTTATTGCTTTATCATTATATAATAAGATCAATAAATTTTGTGAATCTCACAAATCCCACATGATGCCAGTTTTAACAATGGTAGCATGCAGGATTCATGAGATTCACAAATTTATTGATCTTATTACATAATGATAATTCGAAAATGGTGATATATGACAATAATTTCATTGAAAATAGTGAAATGATACAGTCAGTAAAATGAGTGTTGATGAAATAAGTGACTTTATCAATTAATTCCATAAATAATAGTGTAATTGACGTATACTCCTCAATGTGATTAACTTTTGACTGTATTTATCATTATATGCATTACAATAATGATAATTAATTTTAAAAAAAGATAATTACTAAGGGTGTACGATTAGAGTAATCATAAAACTAATAAATCAAACAATGTAAAAATAGTATTTTTTTGATTAATTCTGTTTTCAAGAACAAACTTTACTTAAAATATAAGTTTATTAAATATTAAAAAAAACTAAAGTTGTTACTAAAAAGAGAGAAACGAAAGCTACAAAATAAAAAACATAAAAAATCATCATGATCGATCAGATCTCAATTTTTTTTTTATTTTTTTGAATCATGATTTTTTTGTTGGTATTGACTTTAATTAGCATAGTTTTTTGCTACTAACTTGAACCTTTTTAGTTGATTTTCAAAGATCTCTTTGATGTTTTGGAGCTGTTCTCTGGTAGTTTTATCAGAGAGGAGCTCCAAAACGTCGAAGAGTTCTCTTTGAAATTTGGTATTGTTTCCTAGCAGTTTTGGAGCAGTTTTCTAATAATTTCTTCACTGCATTTAGAGCAGTTCTCTGGTAATTTCTTTACCAGATTTGGAGTAGTTTTCTAGTAATTTTCTTCACCAGATTTGGAACAGTTTTTTATAGGTTTCTTAGGAATTTTTGAGCAGTTCTTTGGTAATATAATTTTCTTTGCTGAGTTTGGAGCAGTTTATTAGTAGGTTTCTTAAGAATTTTTGAGCAGTTCTTTGGTAATGTAATTTTCATCACCAGATTTGAAGCAGTTCTCTGGTAATTTTCTACTTAAAAAACCTACTCTAATTCAGTTTTAGCTTTCTAATAAATTTTCATTAGTTTTTTTTCACTGGATTTGAAGCAGTTCTCTGGTAATTTCTTCACTAGATTTGAAGCAATTCTCTGATAGGTTTCTTAGGAATTTTTGAGCTATTATCTGGTAATATAATTTTTTTCATCAGATTTGGAGCAGTTCTCTGGTAATTTTCTTTGCTAGATTTGGAGCAATTCTCTGGTAATATTCTTCGCTAGATTTGAAGCAGTTCAATAGTAGGTTTCTTAGGAATTTTTGTACTATTATCTGTAATATAATTTTCTTCGCTGAGTTTGGAGCAGTTCTCTAGTAATTTACTACTTAAGGAACCTACTCTAATTCAGTTTTAGCTTTTTAATAAATTTTCATTAGTTTTTTTTCGTCAGATTTGAAGTAGTTCTCTGGTAATATTCTTCACTGGATTTGGAGCAGTTCATTGCTAGGTTTCTTAGAAATTTTTGAGCAGTTCTTTGGTAATGTAATTTTCTTCGCCAGATTTGGAGCAGTTCTCTGATAATTTTCTACTTAAGAAACCTACTCTAATTCAGTTTTAGCTTTCTAATAAATTTTCATTAGTT